AGCAATCAAGGACGCTGACTAACGCCATATCCTGTACCTTAACCTTTAACGCCCCAGATAGGCGAATTTCAGTCGCAGTATCGCGTCAAACCTTTCCAGTCCCGCCTCGCGAAAGGACCTGGCACCGCGTCAGATACGGCTGGTATCAGCCTTCCACTCGCAAACGTTCTCGATTTCTTCATCGTTATCCGCCACTACTCAACCCTGAAATTCTCACGAAGAAATCGACGAACACGGTTCGCTGTCAGCGAGGCGGCTAATTAAATTATTGTGAGCGAAATCGGTCGTACCAGGTAGAACCGCGCGCGTCTGGCCGAGCAGAGGCACGATCAACGATGCATCTGGGACGAGGTGGAAGGACGAGCACGCGACGACACGCGCGTGGAGACGACAGCTCGCTCGCATCGGTCGTCGTCGCGGCTAGCGCGGAACGAGCGCGCTTTTCCCACGGATTCTCCGCTTCGCCGTGAAAATTTCTCCGGTTTCACATCCTCGTGTTACATAAAAATCCGAGCAGACGCGAGCGCATCACAGCCGGCGGCGCGCGTCATTGTCCGCGCGTCGCCGCCTTATCGCGGTTTCTCCCGATGAAGATCTGCCACGAAGATCGTCTCCTAGGAACTGTCGCTTTTGCCTGGTCTACAGAGCGGTGCAAAAATAAAACCACGATGAAATTCACTATCTGCAATGAAATACGAAACACTGCGCTGCCAAGCTCCTCGGTGTCGTCTTATGACACAGGATAACAATAGCGATTTTCGATGGAGAGTAATATCAAACGAAATTTATTGTTACAGATCACATTTACAACTCTTCCATGAATTCGATAGATTGAATTGCAAAAAGATTGCAAACGTACACGACGTGGAATTAGGTTAACCTTGCTGAACGCTGTCAACTCGACTCGCTGAACTTCGGCGGAAGACGACCCTTTTTATAGAGAACGATTGTTCCTTGCCTGAAGGTTCTAGTAGGATCTGGATTAATGTTCCAGAAGTTGGAAGACCCCCCCCCCCCCCACCAAGTGCTGGATTACTATTTTCTGGAAGTTACAGTTACCTCTTCCCCCACTAGGCCGAGTACAGGATAGATATGAGAAACTCGTAACGATATTATACGTTTCGTCTTACTTTCGCGTCACCCTATAGACAAGATGCTGTCGTGGAATTCCGAAATTGGTGTTTTTCGTTTGCGATTAAAATTGGAAATGCCGCGTCCGGACAATTAGGCGCGACCGAGCAGATGGTGAGAGTCGGGTTGGCAACCTTGTCGTCAAGGTCGCAACGTCCCGACAATTTCAAGCGCGTCGTTCGGTCTTCGGAGTTTCGACATAAGGGTGTACTATACCGTGGACCCGTGTTAAGGTCCAGACCGGTGTGTGGCAGCGCAGAGAAAGGGACACGCTCCGATTGGTACGGACCGATGCATGAGAACGGCGGTAGCAGTGGCGCGGTTCGCACTCGCGACTGCACCTCGATAGCAAAGTTCATCGGAGACGGTATCAGCCTCGACAAAGGCACACGACGGGTCGAGATACGTAGCCCCTTTTCCGCCCCTATTTACCCGCGAGTTTCGACGTCGCGTCGGGTTTCAGCGTCCGCGATAGAACGAATGGAATTGCATCTGGCGTGGCAACGCGACGCGACGCGCGAAAGGCGATTTTCGCGCGGAAAGTCGAGGAAACCCGGCGGAAAGAGTAATGGGATCGGTTGGAACCGGGTCGTTATGAGTTACGCGCGTCCACGCTAACGACGCCGGAGAGAACGAACAGCGCGCCGTTCCGCGGACATAAACGCCCGACCGACTGCGCGTTTATTCTCGTTCGAGAGGCGAACAGCGACAGGATAGAGCAGGCTGGAGGAACGCGTAGCTTAGTTTCGATTCGATTCACGGGCCCTCGAGAAAGTGGCTTTATCAGGGGAACGTAGGCGCGCGCGATCCGGTGGTCGGCGTTCAGCCAATCGATCGGCGATCGATTCGAGGCAAATGGGCATCTATTGGACGAAAAACGCGGGATAATAGCGAAACGAGGTCGCAAACGTTGTCTCTCTCCCGATCTCTCGGTCGTCCGTGGAACGTAAAGTTCCAATAAACGCACAATTAATAGGCTGCAAACGTTGTTACTCAACCGTGACACCGTGAACGAAAGAAACGATCGATTGCGCAATGGTGCCCCGTTCGTTAAATAATCCAGCCGATCGCGCGATATTCCGTCCACACCTGCCTTTCTTCCTTCGTCCTTTGGAATTCTACGGTTTTTCGCCACCGCCATTGCGTAACCCGCGACGTCGTTAGGAGCGCGATCGCAGCGCCGCGGTCGGCGACACGAGCGACGCTGTCATGCATCGGGACCGATCGACGGGTGAAACTTTAACGGGTCGTTAAAGAGGAAACGTCCGAGGACATGCGTGGTTAATTGGCTTGGTAAACGTCCGATCTATCGGGCTACCGATTCGAGGGTGGTCAAGAACGAAAAGAGCCGACAGCAGCAGCCGTATCGCTTTATATATTCGAAACCGGTCAGGGCTGACGAGAAAAGATACGGCGCGCGGGCGACTTTCGCGATAGACCGGCGGATTTTTCGCGGACGCCAAATAATATAATGGCTTTCACTTCGCGCGAGCCGGAAAACTAGCCGGCCGTGATACGTACGCCCGAGGAATCATTCCGAAACCGTGCTTTAATTAGCTTTGATTTAATTAGCCTCGCGTCAGCCTCAACGCCGACGCACTGGATTAAGTCATCCTCGTTCGTTGTTTTCCCAGGGTCGTCGCTCCTTTTCCTCCTCACCGCCATTTTCATTTTTCTCATTGCTTCTCCTCTATATTTCCCTTATTGTCCTTTATGTCCTTTCCCTTTCTCCCTCCATTTTTCTATCTATCTTATCTTCTCCCGCGTCCCCGTACTCCTCGCCGCGCGGACCGATCCACGATTTACCACTGAATCGCGATGAGGGGAGATAATAGCGCGAGATACAACCCGAGTCGCTTATCGAACGTCCCGCCGTGACGGTGTTTTATCAGCAACGGCTGAAGCCGGTCGATTTTTCTTCGGCCTGCAGCGGCAGGATCGCTGACGAACGGTTGCGCAATTATGTAGATCGGGCGAGGTTCGCGAGAAGAGCCGCATAATGTTATCTTTGCAAATATATCGCCGGGAATTGCTGGCTGCAATTGAGGAGAAACGAGCGACGATGTCTTCTCTTTGTTCGGTAACAGCGATCATGGGATCGATGCTGCGGCTGATCTAGACGAGCCTCGCGGATTACGTCGTTGCATCTGGATGAAAAACGATAATCGGCCATTTTTACCGCCGGAATTTCTCTCGATAGTTACCTAAACGTTGTCAGTTTAACACGCCAGTTGTACCAGCAAAACGATATTTGCATTCCCGAGCTACCGACGTTTTCTTCCCACTACGACTGATCGTCACGATGGGACGAAGACGGAAACAAGCAGGCCCCTGACACTGATTGAAACGAAATACCACCGAGATGCTATCGAAGTACGAAATCGAATGACAGGATCTAGGTGACCATCGACGAAACAACGGATACGAGGGATTCGTTTGCACCAGGGCCGAGAGACGAGGCATTTAGAGTAAACGAAAAGCCTGGATCCCCAGCAAAGTCTGTCCAAAACGACCCATTGGCGTAATTCAGCGTCATCCAGCGCTTTGGAAGGCAACCCTCACGGGCTTGATCTCATTTCCAGGTTCCCTCATTATGCACCGTGGCAGCTGGAATTAGTAGGTTGAGGTAATAAGTAACAAGCGGCGGGCAATCTATTTAGAAAAGAATTCAGGTTTCTTAAGGCCATTCAACGACCCGTAATTCCAAGTCTTTAGAGCGTTTCGCGTCTGCCACTAACGCGCAACTCCTTCCCGATGCGAGGTCCCCGTTCTCGCGTAACGAGCGGGTCATAACCTGGACCAGGCGCGTCACCAAGGCATGCCTCACCGTCTCTTCTCCGCTCTCTCGTCGCTCCCGTCCGTAAAAACGGAGAAACTCCGGCGTCTAATAGGAGCCATCCACTGCCTCCGCCGAATAATCGTCCTCCAGAATTCCAGTTCGATCCTCGCGCGGCTAGTATCCCGCTTTTACTTCCAACGAGAGATCGTGAGAAATTGCACGCGTTTCAGGGCTAAATCCGTGCTCGCTTTTGCAATCGAAACTTCCTGCGACTATGTTAACGGCGGAATGCCTGCTAGCTTTCCAGAGCACGTTGCCAGGTGTTATGGATTCCAAAACCCCCGAGTCAGCGCGAAAAGATGAACGCCTGATCGATCTTTATTCTTTATAGTTGACAGGACATGTCTTTGGCAGGCAACTGCATCCCGGTGAAATTCTAGCGGATTTAGACGGCAAACTTGGTTCTCTGTGAACGGAAATCGTAAACCCCGAATGCAACGGGACCCCTGGGGAGATCTTGGAAGACGTCCTTCGCAAGGACGACGGCGCATCCTCGCGGATGCACCTGCGTGGGCAGCGAGGCGCGAGAAGAAGCGAGGACTGGAACGATCTCGTGGTAAATCGACGCTGCGATTTCGTGCAGCGTACGCGTCGTGCACCACGCCTGGACACGAGAGAGTTAGATATCGTAGGTGACCAGGTAACCCGGGTGGTGCCTGGTGTTGCACTTGGTGTGGCCTGCCGTGTGGATGCCGAGTGTGTAGGCCAAGATGGTGGGGCGGGTGGAGTAGGAGGCTGCTCTCTCGGCCGTTCGACATGGACGAAGCCGTGGAATACCCGCAAACAACCTACAACGGGCAACCTCTGTATCGGCGCGGCGAACGGGGGGACCCCCCTTTCGCCCCCAAAGCAGCTGGTGGGACTACCTCGGTCTATGCTGGCCGCTGGTACGACGTGGATTATAGTTTTTCTGGGGGGAGGGTGGTGGAGCGCCTTGCTTTCGAAAGGATGGTGATTGTGGAGCGTAGCCAGAGTAGAGTTAGGCGTATATAAGGCCCGCCGGCCCGGCCCAAGTCAGTCACTTATTGGACTACCAGCCCACCATACACACACCAAACATGAAGGCCTTTGTGAGTATCCACCACGGGGTTGGTGATTTCGTGGGGTGTTCGATCGATTATCCGAGAGTATTCGTTCGCGCTCCTCGTCGCGGTTCTCCTGGATCCGTTCTCGCCGATCCATCGTCGATCATTTGCTCGGGTTAAATCGTCGATTTTTCCATCACGATACACGTTCGCATCCGATGCCCGGTGCCTCGGTGCCGGTTCGATTGTGGTGATCTCGCGATCTATGATATCCTCGAGTTCCCAGTATATCTCGTGGCTTTTCCGAGTCGCGGCAAAGTTCGAACGGTCAATCTTGGGACACAGGAGCGCGCTCTCGCTCTTTACCCGGGACATTAGAGCTACGGCTCGAGTCGTTGGATCGTGAGCCGGGCTAAAGTCGCCGAAAGTCGGGTCTCGAAAGCTGCGAGCCAGACTCGATGGCACCGCGCTGGCCGGCGTTCAATGTCACGGCTCGAACGGTCTCGTCCTTTTTGCTCTCCGTGGTACCAGCCGAACGAACGCACGAATCGAGTTTGCCCTTCTTACGCGCTCCATTCATGCGGCAAGAAGTCTCGTTGCACGGTACACTGACCGCGGAACCGGTTGTAATAGTATCATCGTCATTCAGCGAGCAGCTGAACCCGCGACCGGTTCTATTCTCGGTGCATCTTCATTCACGAATACCGTTCGACGTCGATTTCCCTCTCGATTCGCCGCCTACTTTATTCATCCTCGCCGCGGACCTGAAAGCGAATTCGAATTAGCTCCACAGCATCCGTTCAGCCATCGCGTCGCGTCTGTTCGCGACCGAGTTAATTAACCGCGAGTTAAATTTGCCCGGATTAACGGGAACGTTGGCGATTTCGCAAATTCGTGGACGCGACGAGCCGAATGGACGTATGCAAAGCACTGTTCGTTTGGAAAGGACGCGATGGCGCGGGGCCGGCCGGGTTCGGTCGTTTTCCGATCGCTGGGTCGCGAGAACGGCTCGGTCGACCACGTCACACGGATCGGCTGGTTCCATGTAAACGGGATGTGAAAGTTTCGCCAAGTCGTTAGATATGCATAATAGCAGGGCAACGCGGTGCGCCGTTTAAGTGCAACACACTCGAGAGAGCGCTGGGCGTGACGCGCGACCAACGTTCCTTCTTCCGTCCAGCCACTCACGCGAACGCGTTCCCTTTTCATAACACCTAAACGGATCGGAGCTGGTTCGATCTCTTCCACCTTCGTTTCACCGATTTTCTCCTCGATCCTGTGCTCCGGTCCCCATCGATTCGCGGTACGACGCCCGGAGAACCGGTCGCTTCTAGTAACGGGCAGAAAAATGGCCGCGGGAATTGTCGCGATCGGTTCCCATTTAACGCGAAATCGTTTCCTCGCTCGGATTTTCTCGAAAAGGGAAAAAGGGGAAAGTCGGCCAGGGCGAATTCCGTTGCTCGTCGTTATCCGATTATGAATTCGGAATCGCGATATGAGTTGCGTTAGCGATTTATCGCGATTCGAGATTGCGTAAAACGGGATTCTTTTCTCCGTTCTTCTCTCCTTTTTCTCTTTACGAAATCGCGAGTAATCGACGGACGAGTAGCTCGGGCGGAATTTCTGCCCCTAATATGGCGATCAGGCATATGGTGCAAAAGGGCCGATCGATGGTGAACCGACGGTGGAAACACGCGAAGGTAGGGGTAGGTCTATGATACGATTGGCCACGAGATAGCGTAATCGGTTCGGTATCGCGAGTAATTGCGAAACGTTGCGGCATTTGGTTTCGAGCTGGCGTTTTCCTGCACGACGCCTCTCGGAATAGGTTAGCAGCCGACGCGGGACGTTGCGAAACTTCACGCTCGACTTCCATCCGGTGATCGTGGCGCGCGGACTTTGATATTAAACGAGGCAACAACCGGTCGCATCGTTGCTTTCACGCTTTAAAGGCGATCGCCAGGGGGACAACGTTTCCCCAGGTGGCTAGAATCGTTTCCCGATGCCGTGGAACGCCGTTCCGCGGCCAATCTACTCGCATGTAGCGAGTATCGAAAGTGAAAGCCGCGGTTATGTTACACGGGGCTCTGGCGGTAATCGGTGCCAAGTCAATGGGAGTCTGAATTCGCGGTGATAGTCGCTTCCGTAAACCGACGCAGGGATAGTTCGTCTTCGTTCGTTTTCGTTCCTTTTCGTCGCTGATTTCACTTCGCGATACCAGCGTGCCACGCGGCGTGCACCTTTCACGAAGCAACGGGGACACGTAACGCGCGGCGGACGCCGGGAATCGATGGAGCGAGGCGGTGGAAGCGATTACTTGACCGGAAACGACGACCCGCGTTGTCCGCAGGTTGTGTTCGCCTGTCTGGCAGTGGCGACGGCACGCGCCGGAATCGCACATGGACCTGGCATTGCTCTCGCTGGAGGTCATGGCGGCATTGGTCTTGGAGGCGTAGGTCTGGGAGGAGTCGGCCTGGGAGGAGTCGGTCTGGTAGGCGGAGGTGCTAGTCTCTCCGGTGGTCTTGCAGCGGGTGCTGGTAGCGCGAGATCCCTTCAAGAGGGAGCGTCCAGCTTGGGATCCTCTGCTCTCGGTGCCAGCTACGCCGCTGGATCCGCGGCGGCGGCTGGAGCTGCCGGTGTTCAACAAATCGTCTCCGGTGGTGCGTAAAATCTGCGGGATACTTCCGGAGGACTGATACTCTGGTGGAGGATTATGCGACGCTAGGGAACCCTTTTGTTCTGTCGCGCAGGCGTAATCGGAGGCAGGGCTGACATTGGACCCGCTGAAGGACCCAAGGCTAACGTTGGACCCCAGAGCGGACCATCCGACAGCGTTGGACCTCAAGAAGGTGCCAAGAACGTCGGTGGACCACGTACCGGCCCAGCTGGTCTCGTAGGACCCGCAACTGGTCCATTCACCTCCGTGGGTGCCTCTGCTGGTACCTCCACCCTCATTGGACCATCCCAGGGTGCCGCCAACTTGGTAGGACCATCTGTGGGAGTCGTATCCTTCTATGCTGGTAGCGGTAACATCAACGGTGACGACGGAAGCTCTGGCTCTGCTGCCGCTGCTGCGCCAGGCGCAGGTCTCGGTGGTCTCGGTCTCGGTGGTGCTGGTTTGTATCACGATCGAACGGTCGACGGTTGAAAAGCTAACAGGACGACGCAAATGAATAGACGCGTCGAACGGTTGGAACACAAGATTCTTACCCGCGGTTGGTTGGATGTTTTGCAGGTGCCATCGCTGTTGTCGGTGGTGGTGCCGGAATCGGTGCTGGTATCGGCGGACACGACGGTGGTGTTGCTGTGATCAACGGACCGTCTGGCGCCATCCACGCTGGACTCGGCTCTCACGGAGCTATCATCCCCGGGGCACTCGGCAAGTACTAGACGTTCTAAGGCCCCAGCGATCTCGGCTCGGCGACGGCGGCAAACCCACCACAGTCACTTACCGGTCTCAAACGATCCTCAAACGCGCTCAACGTCTTCTTCCCAAAGCTTCGTCCAACCTCGGAACATGGTTATAGCGCCGGCGTTAGTGGTGTAGTCGGTATATAGTCAGAATATTCTAATCACAAGTCCAGTCGGTATATATCGAGACACGGTGAAGCGCGAGTCGAAAGCCCGGCACACGCCCGGCACCTGCCATCGACGATCACGGGTTTAGATCTCGGCAAAGTGCACACCGTGGCCCCGGCCATTCGTGATCCGCGGCTCTCGTCTTCGTTCTCAACCCCGTTTCGTCGGCCACGCGACTCGTGCCCGATCATCAGACGCGGGGCACGGGTAAAATTTAGTCAATTTCTTCTTTCATCAAAACCGCGTACGCGACAGAGGAAGTCGGACGAAGCCGTGATTGCCAGCCACGGTTGCAACGGCACGCGACGTGGACATCTCGCTCGCGATCTACACGATGAGCCTGTATCGAACGATCGGCAACGCACCGAGCCGCGTCCATGTTTTCCATTGACAACCACCCGAACCCGCGCCAGAACCCACGAGAGTCAACGCGAGCACGTTGAACCCGGCTGCTCCGCCATGGACCCAGCAAGTGGACAAGCTTTGGCGCTTCGTCGTTGGACCAACTGGGTCTGTTCTGTTTTCTGAACACCCACCGTTGCTCCGGCAGTACTCTCTTTTTTTTCTCTCTTACGTCTTCCACCATCCGTAAGGCCGCCGCTCTTCACACATATTTACTACTCTGTCTTTTTTTTCTACCTCGATCGCGTCACGGTCTCACAAGTTGTTATACTCACTGCCGCACTCAAGCATACATATTATTATTACATTACTCGTCCATGCGCATATATGTTTTCTCTTTATATATATATACATGTATACATACTATTACTACTACTTCCTTCGCGTATATATATATATGAACACATTGCCACACGCGCGCACACACACTATTGCTATATGTGTACTCGTATATATACACACACTACACATATATTATATAATCGTGTTATATGTTAGTGAAAGAGAGAGACCGGTAGATTATGGTAGGTCAGCCCTTCCCGTGAGTGAATGAATGTAAATAGATGGCGCGCCGCTGCCGGCCCCCGACCCCGCCCGCCCTCGTCATACCCTTTCTTTGCGATCACGACTAGCACCCCACCACCACCATAGATAGATACCACATATTTATAGCGTTTATACATTTATACAATACTTTATATAAAATAAAGCATCAGTATTTAAAACTCACTCTTGATTATTTCGTTCGATCAACCCCTCCGCATCACCCTCTCGCTTCGTCGTTTCGTCCCTCGCTCAAACCTGCCTCCCTCTGTCCGATCAATTTACCTGCATACCCAACACAGCGATACAACGTGAATACAATATGCGAAAAATAGAAAAAAGAGTCGAGCAAAATTGCAAAATCGATTCGAAACAATACCGTCGAAAATTCCTAAAAACGATCCCTCCTTCAAACGCTGATTCGGTATTCGTTGTTACTATCGAAACTGTCCTTTCGTATCGACATTCTTGTCGTTGCTTATCCCTTTCCGCGGATAACAAATAACGACCAAATAACCGGCGTGGGGTCAGCAGACGCGTCCAGGTCGAGGGAAAACGCTGAAAACTCGCGGAAGAAAGGAACACGCTGAAAACTGTCAGCTGTCAACTGTCAAGAGACTGTCGTCGAATCAGGTAAGACGGTTAATAATTTTCCACCCAAATCGTTCGCAATTTCTATCGTTATCCCGGAGCAAAAGCTGATTTCTGTCTTCTCGAATCCTCACCGCGCTCGTGGAAACGCTTAAGGAAGCAGCCTCTAACGAAATCCTAAATTCCGGATCGACCGCCTGTTGCTGCACCGTTTACCGATCGTTCGACTCCGGCTTGCTAATGACAGATTTGTCAAGAGCCGTCTGCTCGTTAGAAAGTTCCACGAGCGAATCGAAATTGCCCGTTTACGCGTTAATGACGTCCCGTGGCATGTGTCACGCGAATGAAATTTTCGTCCGCGAATTCACCTCGCAGTTCGCATTTGCCGACAGCGAAACGACAGTCTATATAAGCTTGGCGAACTGTTGATCCGCTCGCTGATGGCGCTTAAATTGATTCGCATGGAGCAAACGACTTGGCCGGTGTCGTGATGCAAGGATACGACAGTGTCAACGGTGCATAATGCAAGTTTAATAACGCGCTGACAGCAGTGAATAATAGACCCGGTCCGAGTCTGCAATTTTATGAGGTTAATCTTCCTTTCGTGTCTTTAGTTTCGACGACGAGCTCAGTGCGCTGCTTCGCTGCCTTCTGAGACTCTTGCCCAACTAGCCGTCACGAAACTTGCGACTACTCGATTCTGTCAAGGGTACTCGATATTCGATGGAGCAACGGACGCGTAACGATGATTGCGTTCACGTCCGATCGAGTAACGATGATTTCGTTGTATATTCTAGCTTCCGAAATTTTTCTCGAATTCCTCGAGAATCGCCGGTGAAACGGGGTTCTTAATTTCGCGAAGGCGATCGAGTCGCGTGGACCTCGAACCCTGAGGACTTCCGCTGCCCGATGTACCGGAAGCTGAGCGGCGAACCTGGAGCCCAGTTACGCGGACGGCGGTAAGGTAATCCTGAGCCGATCGTCTTTCGAACGACGCGACACTTGGCAAACGGTAATTGGTTCATGGATGATTACAGAGGCAGAACTGGTCACCCGTTTCGCGAAGCGTGGACGGATCGTTAGATGACTGCGAGGACGAAACGCGCTTTGTAAAACGATACCCGGTCAGCTAGGATGCGAGGATTTCGAGGATGAAAAGGAAATCAACGTCGAAATCGATCTGGAACTCGTCGAGTCAACACGATGTTTGATTCAGATGCATCCTCTCTGTCGGGACGAACTTCGACATTGAAATTAATGAAAACTCGAGCACGCTCGCATTGACCACGCTCGCTATACGCTTTGGACTGCAAAGTTCTGTCAAAGGCTATTCGGACGGGGCGTTTAGGTGGACAACGACAGATGGCGAAGAAAGGTAGGTCAATTGCATGCTTCTCGTGTCACGAATCGAGGAGAATTCTTCGTGGATAGGAGTATAAGCTATCGGGCTCGATGGAGAATAAAAATAGGTCACTCGAGTACCACGAATGGCTGGAGAAACTTCTCTGGGCTAGAATTCGACCTACCGTATCCCTCTTTTCGTAGTCACGTCCCTTTGCACGGTCAATCGAGCTTCCGCATCTTCATCGTGGTTAGAATACACGCGGAGGATCAGGACTCCGTGGCAGATCGCCGTAGAAGCGGTTCACGTGGCTGAAAGCAGCCTAGAAATCCTCGTTTCGGGATCAAGGGTCGATCTAGATGAGGCAGGCATTGAATCTGATCGACCGGTGCTGACCCGTCATATTCGGCCAAGAGGTTCGGACTTTTCAGGTCGATTTGACCACAAATACGGCTTTAACAGCGGCTAAAAAGCCTTTAAATCTCTTCCAGGTTCGCGAGTGCTCGCAGATCCCGATGGAACAGGCTTCCAGTGGTCTGCAGCTGACCGTGAATAAAATAAAAGTCACTGGATGCGTGCTAGCCCGCGGAATCCTGTGGAATCTGCTTCGAGGACCGAGAAGCCGACCAACCGTGAGGCGATGAAGACAAAACGTTGGAAACTATCTCGTAACCTTTCTATTCGCTTCTTCCATTCTCTCCTCCTCTTTCTAGACGACAAAGTATCTTTTCATCGATGGCCCATAACTGTCCCGCACACGTGGACTCCACGTATATAACTTGCAAGAAAAGAACGAAGAGGAAGATAACATTTATCAGAAAGTTTTATATGTTCGAGTTACATCGAGAGGAACCGATCTGACAGACTGATCTGTTTGCGTGGAATCCACTCAAGTCCCAGTATCTACTAAATTCCAAGTCATTGCAATGTAATGACACGATTTTCATAAAAATAACGACAAGCTGAATCGTTCCGTTTAATTTACAACTCTGTCGTAACTAAATTTTCGACTTACGACATGTTCGAAGCACGAAATTATCTATATTCTGCCAAAGAGTATCAACTGCAAAGTTCAATGCCTCGGGTGAATCCATTGAAACAAGACTTCAATAGAAAACTAATAAAATAAGCTGCAGAATTGGATCAAAGAGCCTATTGACAGCGAGTTGACAAACGGAAGACATGTCTCCGTTGCTTCTTCTTCAGTGAAACCGGAAGCACGCGAACTTCCTATTCGGATCGTCCCTCACAGGTGAAACATTCGGATAGGCTGTGAGCTGCTGCTGCTCAGCAGATTTCTGACAAGCCATTTTACCGCGATTCATCGCGCTCGATAATGAATCTCTGTCAGCTCTGGCACTTTCCACGCGGAAGCGACGCGATGTTTGCGTTAAACTGCATGAAGCGAGCATTCACGCGGGCCTATGCGACTCTGGAGTTAGACATCTCGTCGGTCCGCGCAGTTTGCCGAGGAACGAATGCTGATACAAATCGGGAATATCATTAACGAAAGACCGGCAAAGCCTGCTCCTTCGCGAGGTGGAAAGAATGGAGGAGAGAAAATGACGAAGACAAAGAACGAAACGAAGAAACGCTTGGTCCGCTGAAGTATTTATTAAAACGATACAATGGCGCAATGGGTATAAAGTGAGGACCGTGGAATGGAGTCGATAAGGCGACCGTTTTATCTTCCTCTAGACGGGACGTCAAGATTACGACTGCAGGGACGTGCATTCTGAATGCTCCTTGCGCTCGGACTTTTCATTAAGCCGAGATGCCCCGTTTAGCGAATCGGCCATTAAGAATCTTTAGGGCGGAGAGATAAGGCTGGAATCATATTTCAAGGCTGAATCAGATCAACGGGTGCTATGGCGAAATCCCTAAATCCAAAAGCAACGTGTAAACGTGCATTTCAGGCGCACCCAGATGGAATCAAATGGACCTAGTATAGTTGTCTAGGGCTCTGAATCCGCATGCGTATGTGGATCAGTGGGTCACACCGTATATAGGCAGGTATATCAACCCTCAGCTGATTGTAGACTCCTGACAAGGGTTGACAAACGAAGTAATTGATACCATTCGCTTTTCGACGGTGAACTAGGCTAAAGAGATGAGATGGATCGACTCTGCCAATTTTATGAATTGTTTTTCCTGACTATTTTATGTCATTTTATGTCACGAAGATTGGTAACTGTCCCAAAATTAACGGGATGCTGTTGGAGATCGAAACGACCAAACATCGTTGTCCAGGATTGTATAATTCGCACGCGTATGTCGATCAATGAGTCATATCGCACATACGCAGGTTAATCAACCCTTAAGCCGGAGTAGACCTCTGACAGGGGTTGACAGGCGAAATAATTGGTAGCGTTGTCTTCTGAACGGTGCATTAGGCTGAAGAGTTGACATGGATCGCCTCTGTCAATTTGAGGAATTGTTTTCTTGAATATTTTATGAAGATCGACAACTGTCCTGAAGCTAGTAGGAAGCTCTTGGAGATCAGAACGACCTAATATCGTTGTCCAAAATTATATAGTCCATATGCATATGTCAACAGAGGGCCATATCGTATATACGCAGGTAAATCAACCCTCAGCCGATTGTAGACTCCTGAGAGGGGTTTACAGGTGAATAATTGGCATCGTTTTCTTTTAAACGATGCATTAGGCTGAAGAGACGACAAGAATCGACTCTGTCAATTTGTGGAACTGCTTCTCTCGACCATTCTATGCCATTTTATGTCACGAAGATCGGTAACTGTCCCGAAATTAGCGGGAAGCTGTTCGACATGAAAACGACAAATATCGTTGCCCAGAGTCGTATAACTCGCATGCGTTTCTCGACCACTAGCTCATACCACATGCACACAGGTAGATGAACCATTAGCCAGCACTTGCCAGTGGTTGACAGGCAAAGTAATTAGCACAGTTGCCTTCTAAACGGTGCAGCAGACTAAAGAGAGGACACAGACTAATTCAGTCCATTCGAGGTATTTTTCTCCTCGAACATTTTATGACACGAAGATTGGTAACTGTCACGAGTTTAGCGGGAAGCTGTTGGGGATCAGAACGACCGAATATCGTGTCCCAGGGCTGTGTAACCCGTATGCGTATCTCGACTAGCACATATTACACACGCATAGGTAGATGGGCCATTAGCTAGCTCTCACCACAGGGTTGACAGACGGAATAACTAAGAACATCGCGTTTTAGTGGGTACATCTAGCTAGGGTATAGATGATCACTCGACTTTGTCGAATTTAAGGAATTTCATTCTTCGATATTTTATATCGTTTACTACTGACTTGGCAGAAGACTTGGCATTAGCATATAAGCATATAAGTATAGTATATACAGAAGAATAATTCACTCTGAACCTAACGAACTTCATTCTCGGATTTTTCGCGTCACTGGCACGAATATCTGTCACCGATGCAGCGAGAGGTGGCTCGGGATCGAAACGGGCAGAGAGAAGGTAGGCAAGAGGTCGGCAAACGTGCAGTTTGGTCGTTGAAAAATCGTTAGATCATGGAGAACGGTTTCGTAATTCCCGCCAACAGAAGAGAAACGAAGACGCTGATGCAGCGGATCGTCGAGCACGATCAGGCGTGGTCCTTTCACTCTCGGGGGTGTGCGATTCCTACACGAGTTCCCAGAAGAATCTGCTTACGAGGCTGCCGAGCCCGGGTTTTGCGGCCAAGGTCATTTCGTCATTGAGCCTTTGATGAGACTCTGACAGCCTCATCGAGCGAGACCACGGTTTCCACGTTGCTTCTTACGTGCACCTACCTCGAGTGCCTGTCATTCGATTGCACTCGAGATCGAACTCGAAAAGCAGCTTCTTCTGGTTGCACCGATTAATGCTCGAGATGCTGCAGCTTTCGCTTCACCCTCTGCTTTAATTTCTATCCGTGATAATCACCGCTCTCCGAGCCTAGACCGAACGAAAGGCTAGTTAGTGTCAACAGGCCAGAGTCGCAGAGTCGGAGAGAAATAAAGCGAGTAACGTTATCGTCTCTGTCCCTGATCTTTAGCTTTATATGGCACGATTGATTGGCAAGGTGGGTCGGTGCGAGCCTAAATTGGAAACCGTTCGGACACGTACCCAGTCGAAGCGGAACGACGCGAGGATCAGCCGCTGGTAAGCTGCTCTGCTCTCATAAGAATCCCGATGCATTGCGTCCGCGCCGTGGCGCAGACAATGATTGCAAATGTCAGTCTCACCATTAGCATTGATCACGTTCAATCTCGGCCGTTCCTCCTCCATCGTTTCGCGCGGCTGCAAATTTCAAGAGCCCCGCCGCGATGGAGATCGTCCCGTGGCCAGACGTCGGAATCGATTCGAAGCTGCTGCCTGTCGCTCCTATCGATCCCGTCCCACCTTGGTATTTTCGCGTTCACCCTGGTACCTTCGCGGCGACCACGAAAAATAAATGGCGAAACCGTACGATCCCAGCGAGCACCCGTGAGATCCTCTTGGCAGAAAATAGAGCAGTCGCGGCTGCACGAGTGCACCGAAAGGTGCATTCGGTTTAACGAACTGGGCAAACAATTAAACCATAGAGTTTCCGATCAGGGTGCTGGAAAATCGTTCGATAAAATCAGCTGCGACGACCGTGGATATCGAATAAAGCGACACCGGTTTGCATCGGCGTCGCGCATTCTTCCAATAATTTAGACAGTGAGACGAGCAGAGAGATAGAGAGCGGTTCACACGGTTCTCCGCGGAAACCTCGAGGATAATGGAAGGCTGTAATGGAAGATTCGAGCGTGAAGCGTGCGATCGTTGTGTGGCCACACACAGGCACCGCGGTTTGCGGGTACTCGAGCGTGGTCCAATTCGAGAGGAACAAAACCGTGTATCGATCGGGGCGCGATAATTGGAGCAACGAAGATCGCATCTTTTTCCGCGACCACGAGGCATAAAGGTCACGTTCGACTCGACACGCTCACGCTCGCAGCTTCAGTCTGCAGGCAGTACGTGGAGATGAAAACCGTATTAATCCCTGAGAACGTGAACCCATAATGCTACAGCCCGACTTGTTGCCGCGAAGAGATCGGTTGCTTCACGAGGATGACGCGATTAACCGCCCACGGTTTTTCGACCAGAGGCACGCGAGGTTACGAACGATCGAAATTATCCTGGCATCTCGTGGTTGAAAAGGGGATAAATTAACGGAAGATATTCGAAGAATTCGAAGAGGCGATCGTAAGACACGCGCTTTCGCAAGACTCTTCCCTAATTCGCGGTGCGAGCCAGTGGCACGAAGGAAAGGCTAGATCGAAGGACTTAATTTAACGCTAAAGAGTGGATAATTACGAGCAAGCGAGGTGGGCACGCTTGAAACATTCAGGCCAATTATACCGTAGGTCGAAGATCACGCCTGCTCGCCAACGGTTACCTGTTATTCGTCCCCCTTTATCGCCGGAGAAATCGCAAATTACGCTAATCACAGCGCTTTCGCTAATCGATTCCTTTGTTCCTTACGCCCGTCGATATCAACCGTGGCCATTTATCTTTCCCGGGGAAGACACACTTTCCTTCTCTCGTATGAACTTCGTCCACGTACCACTTTCCTTCCCTCGTTTCTTCCATTCTTTCCCAAGAACTTCGCTCCTTTCGCGCTGTTTAATGGACCGAGTGTTTTACCAGTCGAACAAGTCGCGGAGAAGTTGCGAACCGCCGAACGATCCGAGATTGCCGAAGACGAAAGGTTCTCACGAATGGCCGCACGAAACGCCCGATCCCATTACGGCGCGCAACCAAACGATCCAACTTTGCCCGTCGGCACAAAGGGGACCCAGGGCGAATACCGAAAGTTCCTTTTCACGAAAGACGGTCCCTCTAGTTACCGAGTTCCGGCCCGTAAAAAGAGCTCGTGACGCGAACACGATAAATCTATCCCCGCCGACGCGTTAACCGCGAAGCTGCCCGTTTCGTCGTCAACCGATCCGTGCACCGATCCACACACGATCGATCGATCTTCGTTCGCTCGGTATTCCGCACCGGCGACGATACGGGTAGTCCGGATTAAGCGGTAAAGCGAAACAGAGGAGGCGAGGAAAAATGGAAGGGACGAAGAAACAGCGAGAAAAACTGTGCCGGTTTTGCTTCCCCGTTGGAACCGATCGTTTCGCAACGGATCGTCGTTGAAGGTCAGACGAGGCACCCGCGTCTCTGGGGTGGGTGTGCCGGATGCTGACCTTCTTGCACAATGGCTGAAGCTGCACCATCAGCGGATATGATTTGAAGGGATCAACCGGGGGCGCGGTCGGGATCCTAGAGTATATAAAGTCCGACCGAGTCGTCGGTGGGCACACTCCGCAATCGGTCGGTCGGCAAGATGAAGGCCTTTGTAAGTATTCCGCGATCCACGGTACACCATGCGATATACTAACACGTGACGCTGTATTCCTGGATTCACCGAAATCGCTTGTCACTTGTCTTTCGATTCGATAACCTAACCTTAATGAACCTATAACCCGATAGCTCTAGACTCTGTCAATGCAGCTCGACACTTCTGATTTGGCGCCAATTTTAATATCCCTTATCGATTCGCGTATTTGGAATTTTTATTTGTACTTACTTTGAAATTTTCAGTTGATTCTGGTAGCCCTGTTCGCCTCCGCCTCAGCTGCCCCGCGTCTCCGTCGAGAAGCTATTTGGGGTGGGTACCACGGAGGCCCGTATGGAGGTCACCTCGGATACGCGCATGGAGTAGCAGTCGCTGGTCCTGCTCTGGGGCCGACCAGTGTCGCTGGACCCCATCTCGGGGCGACCATGGTCGCTGCTCCGTCCATAGGACCAGCTAGACTCTCTGGGTCTGTTGCTGGGCCGGTCCACGTTTCCGGCGCTGTGGCTGGTTCCGCGCTCGTCACTGCCTCGGTTGCTGGGCCCGCTCACGTCGAGGGCTACGGTGGTCCCTATGACGGAGGAGTCGGTGAGTGATAGTGTCAACGCTGAATTTTTCAATTGGCTTTCGTAATTTCGAATTTATTTCAACTTAACTTTGACTTAACTTGTCTTCTTAAAACATCGCGAATTATACGTTTACCTTTTCTTTACGAACAAAAATTCGATATGCTAGGTGTCGCAGGACCGTCGTACAGTTACGCAGGGCCATCGTACAGTTACGCAGGATACCCAGGATACACGGGATACGCTGGAGCTGGCAGCCACGGCGTAGTGATAGCGGGACCAGCGGCTCATGGAGCGGTCCTCGCGGGACCAGCGACTCACGGCGCCGTCCTTTCCGGTCCCCATTCAGGAAGCGCGGCAGTGTCCGGTCCCAACGCTGGTTCCGTGGTGATAGCCGGTCCCTCCGGCAAAATCACCGCGCACGGCACCGGTTTCGGTGGAATCCACACCGGCCACGGTCATTGGTAACGGAGAGCTGTTGGCAGAGGAGAAACTTTTGGGAACCTGTCGATCGCATCCACGATAGTGAACTGTCAGTGAGGGTATCGGAATACCGTGGTACCCAACGTCGAATGATCGTTAGATTCATCTCGCGGCGATCCCCGTTAACGAAACATTCGATACTATGGTTTTGTAACGATATTGTAACACGAATATGAACTTTTTTTACACGGTTGGTACATCCTTTTTTAATAGACAATAAATAGCCTGTAACGTAGATCTCCGTCGACTATTCGCCATCTATGGTGCAACTTTAACTCCGATCTCTCGCGATAATACGCGACTCCATCGCGCGCGTTTAATCACGCTGTTAACTGCTGAAATTCCCGCACGCGACGCTCTGATCGAATTATACCGTCACGGGCGCAGACCTTTAGATCGCAATTAAATTCGTTATACCTTCCACTCTAACGAGCTGTAAAATATTATTCGATTACTCGGCTGTCCCAATTTTATCCGTGCCAGAAAGACACTCGACGGTGCAAATTCCGAACCGATTGTCGCCAATATCGCTTCGATATCCCTGTTTCCAGCATCTCCGAGTCGGCGTAATGGCGAGCGTTCTGCTTCGTTTCGAAGCGGATCGCGAGAGCGTTTCGTGCGATCGACCCTCGATCCTTATCGATCCCGTGGTTCGAACCGTTCCACCTTGTTTCACCGTGATAATTCGCGGATAAGTCGAACGCGGACTACCAGGGGCGTGAATTAAGGGTAGCGAGGAAAAAGGTAGCGCAGGAAACCGGAATCTCTGACACGGATCTGGACACGCCGGAACGATATACCGGTACACGTGGCAAAGGCTAAGGTCGCTAGACGCGCGACTCGCGACACGGTTCGACGATCTCCGAACAAACGCGACGATTGGCTGAACTCGACGACATCGTTGGAGGAAAGGATCGATTGGCGGATCGATCGCGGAGCACAGGTGTGCGGGCGCGGTCCATTTGAATAACGCCGAACTAACGAACCACGAGCGCATAATTCACCGAAGGTCGTACACGAGATCCGCGTTATCTCTCCAGTCGTTCCCCGGCACGGGTGCTATCGCGGAATCTATACACGACAATTACCGTGCGTTCTTTCCGCTTTTTTCGCTTTTTAAGGTCGACCTGATCCTCGCCGCAGATCGCGGCCATACTTTTCGCCCATAAGCCGTTCCGCTCGGTTTTTACGCTCGAACAATGGTCATTTAAACGATTTATTTCGAGCTACCGGTTCTGCGGGACTCGATCTACAGTCGATTACGTTCCGCGAATGATCGTTTAACGCGCTGACTGCCAATGTGGTCATCGGTGACCTGCGCTTGGCTCCTCGGCAGGGCAATGGTGGTCATGGACGTCCGGCGATACTAATTTTTTAAATTTATATTTGCTTCGTTTTAATCAATTTTCCAGTATTCGAAAATCGTAAATAAGTGGGGAACTTTGAACAGAATATATTAATAATGTGCACCAGTTTTTCTATTACAATATTGTTTGATAATTCATCAATATATTATAATAATCACGGAAAATTTATCGTGGCCCCCTGAGCGTATCGTATAAAGAGTACAAAGAGTAACACATAGAGTAATAGAGTAACACTTTGACTGTCATGGTGGTCATTGGTGACCCGTGCTTGTCTCCTCAGTAGAACTACGGTGGTCACCAGCATCCGATACTAATTTTTTAAATTTATATTTCTTTCATTCTACCCAATTTCCGAATATTGTCGAATACTTGAAGACCGTAAGTAAGTGGGGAACTTCGAATAGAAGACATTAATAACCTGCACCATATTTCCTTTTGCCATATTATTTAATAATTCATCGTTACATTCTAAGAATAATGGAAATTTTGTCGTGGCCCCCGTACAAAGAGTGCGTGACAGTAAAGGTATTAAAATCTCCACCGAATAAAGCGATAAATCGGCGAATTAGAGGAACGAGGATTGGAAATAAAATCATCGAAACGACCATCAAAAGTCAAACGCTGAGAAGCTTGATAAAGGTTTGAAACAATGATTACAAGGAAGACACGATGTGAAGACACGATGGCAGTCAGGACGATTTATCACGAGATTCGCGAACAATCGTGAGAACTACCTCGATTTAACCACATGAGCCTGCATCTTCTGCTGGTGCGAGAAGATTTATTATCCGAATCGCGGGCAGCCATTCCGCGATAGCGACGAGACCGATATCGGGGTGCGGGCTCGAGGAACTCGGGGGTTCCGTCTATATGGGAAAATCGTGGCACCACTTTGGCGGATCAGCCGGATCGTTTCGTCATCGACGAAAGTGCATCGAACTCTGCGCGAATTCCTAGAGGTCGCTCGATCGCGATTCGATCGACCGATCCACTTGGCGGGAGAGCAGGACGGGGGTCGGGGTTTTAAAATATGTTTGAAAAGGGCTCTGAAAACGCGTGTGAAAAGCAACGTTGCGTAATTTTACGATATTCGACCGGTTCGTTTGTCAGGGGGAAAATATAAAATATTAGGTTGGCAACTAAGTGATTGTGGATTTTAAATAAGAAGGAAAATACAAAATATTTTGGTGAATCTCAGATTTCGATGTCGTCTGGGCTGGTTTTGCATCACCCACGATCTTTTCCTGTTAACATTGTTACGAACTATCCACTTTTCGTCGTCAGATATCAGTCGTTTCAGAAATGGATCAATTTCGTTGCGTTTCAGAAACGAATCGCAGATGCTAATGCGTTGCGTTAAATGAATTTCCTTAAGCTGACGAGGGATCCATAAATCGAGTTTCTTGACATAGCCAAGCCGTTTTAATTTCATTCGAATGCATGCATGCGATACATTGAGCATAATGGCTTTGATATGGGTCTCATCAACTTTAACTGGACGGCCAGATTGTTGCGCATTTTTCAGTGAAAAATCGCCAGAATGAAATTTGGTAAACCAATTTTGACACTGTCTTTCTTTCAAGGCTTCATTCCCATATACGGTATATAACTTCTTGCGTGCTTGCGATGCGTTCTTGCCTTTTTGGAAGTTAAACAGTTAAATATGTCCGAAATTCGCGTTTTGTTCTTCCGTCTTTTAATTGGGATAAAAACGAAACTAAATAACTAATCGATACAATTTTTCCACTAAATTAAAGGCGGAAGTCCAAACAACAAGGAAAGAATATAAGTTAGGTGCCTTGAACACGTGGACAAAATAAAAGAATATGCTAAAGCCATCTAATGACAAAATCCGAAATCGCTTAGTTGCCAACCCAATAAAAGGGAAAAGAAGCTTCCGCATTTGTATTTCACGAGTTCGTAACTCTCTCGTTCTTGGGAAAAATTAGGTAGCGAAAGTATGGTTCCCCGTGGTCGCAAAGAGAGAGAGAAAAAGAGAGATCGTACGTGAATTACTTTTTCCAAGAATCATTGTTTTATTTCCTTTGATAACCAGTGCTGGTACATCGAACAAGGGAGCGCAAGGATGTACGAGTTGAAGACGGTATAACTCTGACTTTCTCATCGTTCTGGTTCAAGCATGAACTTTTATCAAACGTGAAATCGACGCTTTCAACGCGAGTCATATTTTCTTTTTTCCTTTTTTTTTTTCATTTTCCGCGCGGTTTCGCGTTGCTTTTGATTGCACAGAGCTCGGGTAGTTTATTGCAATTTCGCTGTTTGCGCAATGCTAGCGTGGAATTAAGGGAAAACGAGCGATGCGCTGTAATTTAAACCTCGATAGGAACAACAAGTTATTCATTGCCCTTACACTTCGTGCTAAAATCGTAAATGCGGAATTACGAATGGGAGAAATATGGCTGAAAACGCTGCCGGCTTTACGGCCCTAATTATACCAGAATCTATTTGGCAGCCCACGCGTTGCATTTTCTGACATTTAGAATCATCGTAAAATTCTCTCTCGGATAAAAAGAGCTCCTTACAATGGCGGCCGGTGTGGCAACGTCGGATATAAAGATTATAGACTGACCCGGAGATATCGTAAAACGAGATATGAAATTTTGCCATTAAATTCGCTTCCAACTGAGGATAATACGGTAACGAATCTCGAAATCTCCGATTCCCCGTGTTTCGTCTCATGGAAACGCACCCTTACCCGCGCCCCTGATGCTATACTATCGGACTCTCAAAGACTGTGCTACCAAAGGACGCTCCGGGACGTAGCTACACCTCGTGTTCCCGATTTATGAGATTTCCCAGTCAGGTTTGCTTCGACGGGCACGGTAGATTGCGATAAATCAACGAGACTGCTTTAAACAAGAATTACAAGCTAGAGACAGGATGGTCGGCTACCGTGTGGACATTCCAGCAGGTCTCGGTCGGGCATAAAGCAGGGGGGTCGGATTGTTTCCGCGAAGCCCGCGCCGTTACGGACAGGAAGGACAGAAGGTGTGGCCGATAACGAGGTAGATACGGTTGTGGCTGGTTCGTTAATGCCTCGTGAGTTGCCGGAGATCGAGGAACGCCGATCGATGGATCCTTCGACGCGCTGCACAGCTCGTACGCCCTCGGCGATGCACTCGATGGCCTGGGAATACAAAAATCATGGGAATCACTACGCTCGGGACAGTTCGTTAAGCTCTTACCGTCGTCGGAGCGTTCCGCATGGACGACACGTCGCACGGATATGGATCGGACGTGATCCGTGGATATTTAAACACCGACTCGAGACGCGGCCTCGCGATCGTTCGCCGGGCGAAAAATAAGTCGTTATTTCTCAGCGCGGCAAACGGGATATTTATATGCTACGTAACGGCGTGTTCCCGGCTCGGAAAATCGGTCCAGGAACGAGGGGATAAATCTCGAGAGTGCGCGCCGTTGCGCGCCCTCCTTCGCGAGAGAGATCGTTATTCACGTCGCGATCCGCCGCGCCACCGCGGAAATTGAGAAACGCCGCCGTTTTGTACGCGTCACGTGGACTGATTCCATCGTCTCGAAATCGAGAGTACGAGCCGTGGCCCACCTCGATGTCCCCGGCAACTCGTCGCGGAGATCGGTAAGCGTGCAGTCGCTGGTTCTTACCTGAGCTAGCGAGTCGGTCGAGTCACCGAGTGATACCGTCGATGACGATTCCTGGGATCTCGGGTGCGCGAGAAGCTCGTCCCTGGGGAAATGATCGCAGACTCCATCGATGACGCCCTCGACGTTGCTCGACCTCCCTATCTCCTAGTCAGGTCGACAGTCATGAAATGTCCCCTCATAGACGACGGAGGCCACCGAGATTCCGAGCAGCGACTTTCCATCAGCCATCACGGAGGAACATTGCCGTGCAAACTGATGCTAAGTGAGCTTTTATAGGCGACACACGGGACACGTGGGTCGGTGAACTTATCGGGGGTAAAGGCGGGGCTGCTGGCCGCGGACTGCTAGACCGTGACGGGGTGAAAAAGCTCGATTGATCGTGCAAAAAGGTGTAAATAACGTGACGCAATATTGGATCGAATTGGTGACACCGCGCCTAGAAGAACGAGAAAAATGGCCTTTGCGTTGGATGCGCGTAAAGATCGAGTCGAGATAACGATTCTAACCTATCGATTATCGCTTTTCTCTAGGTGTTCGAAGTCCTCTCGGGACTCGGAAATTTTTCTCACCTTTCCATATAAATTCTTTCAACTTTTTCTCTATATATACTGTTGTATCGCGTAATGTAGCGTAATATTGACCGGAAAGTCAAGATTTCCTAACAACGTTAAAATTAAAATATTTCCTAAATTAATGATTTTTTAATATAAATGATAATAATAATAGTAATACTTTATTAAGGAACAAAAATCCTTTGGTATGCTATAAAAATAATTAAAATATTAAAATAAAATGTACAGTAATAACGTAGTAGTGTAGTAGTGCAGAAAGTAATGGAATAAGAAATAATTAAAGAAAAGGAGAAAAAGATAAAAGAAAAACTTGATAAATAAATGGTTGAGGTCTAGTTGACTTTTGAAATAGATACGTTAAAAGAGCATAACGATATATTAAGAAAGTCAATGTTTTCACGGTGTATATTCGCTGTTGAAAATAATCTGTTTACGCAGTTTCTGTCACCTATCAGCGATAGGGTGTTTCGCAAGTACACATAGTTTAAAGAGCTCCAAAATTGCCGGACACCCGATAAGATTATTAATAACTTTAAAAACTGGAATAACATCCGCTGATGTTCTTCTTCCTTCTAAGGTAGGCAACCCTATACGTTCGAGGATGTAGTCGTAATTATGGCATGTCATAGATCCCAGACAATGGAGTTGAGGTAATTATTTATTGTTATAACTATTATAAATAGTTTAATACCTTTTTGTAACGAATACGAAGGAGCATCAGTTGATGTAATAAAATATATACGATGCCATTTAAAAAAATATTAATGACCTTCATATGTCCTTTACACGTCCATTTACAAAAAATCTAGTACCATCGGAATATGCCTTTCTCAAAACCATCAACTTTTATTGTAAAGCATATGAAGGAGCATCAGTTGATGTAATAAAATTTATGTCTCTATTTAAAAAAATATTAATGACCTTCATATGTCCTTTAATCATCCATCTGCAAGAGAACTAGTTCCATCGGAATATGCCTTTTTCAAAACCATCAAACCTCTTTTGTAAAGAATATAAAGAAGCATCAGCTGATGTATTAAAAAATATACGATGCGATTTAGAAAAATATTAATGACCTTCATATGTCCTTTACACGTCCATTTACAAAAAATCTGGTACCATCGAAATATGCCTTTCTCAAAACCATCAACTTTTATTGTAAAGCATATGAAGGAGCATCAGTTGATGTAATAAAATTTATGTCTCTATTTAAAAAAATATTAATGACCTTCATATGTCCTTTAATCATCCATCTGCAAGAGAACTAGTTCCATCGGAATATGCCTTTTTCAAAACCATCAAACCTCTTTTGTAAAGAATATAAAGAAGCATCAGCTGATGTATTAAAAAATATACGATGCGATTTAGAAAAATATTAATGACCTTCATATGTCCTTTACACGTCCATTTATAAAAAATCTAGTACCATCGAAATATGCCTTTCTCAAAACCATCAACCTCCTTTGTAAAGAATATGAAGAAGCATCAACTGATGTATTAAAAAATATACGATGCGATTTAAAAAAATATTAATGACCTTCATATGTCCTTTACACGTCCATTTGCAAGAAAACTAGTTCCATCGGAATATGCCTTTCTCAAAACCATCAACCTCTTTTGTAAAGAATATGAAGAAGCATCAGCTGATGTATTAAAAAATATACGATGCGATTTAAAAAAATATTAATGACCTTCATATGTCCTTTACACGTCCATCTGCAAGAAAACTAGTTCCATCGGAATATGCATTTTTCAAAACCATCAACCTCTTTTGTAAGGAATATGAAGGTGGATCAGCTGATGTAATAAAATTTGCATGTCTCTGTTTAAAAAAATATTAATGACCTTCATATGTCCTTTAATCATCCATCTGCAAGAAAACTAGTTCCATCGGAATACGCCTTTCTCAAAATCATTCAACCTCGTAATAATGACGTACATCTAAATGGCAATATGTGGCGAACCACCCTGTATACGCGTATGTCGTTTACGAAGAGATAATGAAATCGGACAAGATGGAGAGCAATATGGTCGGTATTGACAAACACCGGCCGCGCAACGATCGACGAGATCACGTGGCATTTCCACCGGATTGATAATCCTCTTCCGTTCCCATTTCTGGCTTTGTAATGGTAAACCAGTTACACGTAGCCGACTATACGCATTATTTCCGGTGGCAGAAGCGGACACGGACAGGACCTACCGTGACACATCTGTCAGTGTCCCGCTGTTTTTCGCGACTCCATCCGCGACTGTGAAAATGGCCGCGTTCAAAAATCGCCCCTGTCCGTAAATCAAATACACTGTCGTTCTTGATCCGACGTACCTTTATGCACCTGTCGCTCCAAGAAATATGTTCCCGTTCCCGATTCCCTCGGTAAACGATCGACCATCGCGCGATCTTCGTTGTCCGACGTTAACTACCTCGATCTTTGATTTCAATTTGAACCGGGCCGCTGAAATATTTGATCGGGAAATGGCGGGACCAGCGACTCCATGTCTGGCGATATTAATTGACCGATCCACGTCGGCCGAGGGGAACAAAAAGTTATCGAATCCGGCTGCAAAACCGAGCTCCGAATGAAACTCGTTTCCAAGTCCAGCGCAGGAAGTTCCTCGAGCATCCTCTCGACCGAGAAAAAAAGCGAGGTGCTTTTTAAGCTCCGGCAGAGCGTCCGAGGAGAGAGAGAGAGAGAGAGAGAGAGAGAGACTCTCCGTGCTTGCCCGGTTCTGGCAAACGAGGCGTACCATTAAAGCCGCCCCTCGAAGGACTTGGCCAACATCGGGGAACAATTATACGAACAATCGCGTCGCCGGTCACCTTTGCCACCTTCGAAAGTCTACGCCCAACAATGTTATTCCGAACGATCCGTGGCACGACGCT